TGAAAGTAAAAGCTGGTTCTTTGAAAAGATAAACAAAATCAATACACCACTAGTGAGACTTATTAAGAAGAGAAAAAGGAACCAGGTAAATCAAATTTGCAATGAAGCTGGCAATATAACAACAGACATAACAGAAATACAAAACATCATTAGAGGATACTATGAACAACTGTATGCCAACAAACAAGAAAATCTGGATGAGATGGACTAATTCCTGCACACATATAATCTACCAAGAGTGAGCCAGGAGGATGTAGAAAGTCTGAATAGGCCCATAACAAGCCAGGAGATTGAATCAATAATAAATAACCTTCCAACAAAGAAAAGCCCAGGTCCTGATGGCTTCACTTCTGAACTCTATAAAACTTTTAAATAAGAGTTAACCCCCATTCTGCTCAAGGTAATTCTAAAGATCCAAAAGTGTGAAACTCTCGCAAATTCATTCTATGCAGCCTCTATCACCCTTATCCACAAAACAGATAAGGACAGGACAAGGAAGGAAAACTATAGAACAATATCTCTGATGAATATAGATGCAAAAATTGTCAACAAGATACTTGCAAATTGTATCCAACAACATATAAAAAAATTACACATCAGGTAGGCTTTATTCCAGGGACGCAAGGTTGGTTCAGCATACATAAAACCATAAATTTAATACACCATATTAACAGAAAGAAAGATAAAAACCATATGATCATAACAATTGATGCAGAAAAAGCATTTGATAAGATACAACATCCATTCATGATCAAGACTCTTAGCAAAATCAGCATAGAAGGGTCATTTCTCAACACAATAAAAACTATATGCGAAGAATTCATAGCGAACATCATCCTGAATGCAGAAAAACTGAAAGCTTTTCCACTAAAATCTGGTACAAGACAAGGATGCCCACTTTCTCCACTCCTTTTCAATAAAGTACTACAAATGCTTGCCAATGCAATCAGAAACTAGAATAAAATAAAAGCATTCAAATAGGAAAAGGAGAGGTGAAACTATCTCTATTTGCAGATGACATGATGGTATACATAGAAGACCCAATGGTATCCATGAAAAAATTTCTGGAAGTAATACATGAAAACAGTAAAGTTGCAGGATACAAAATCAATATACAGAAATCTATAGCATTTCTATATACAAACAGCAGGCAGACTGAGATAGAGCTGAAAAAAGTAATTCTATTTATCATAGCCACAAAAAGTATAAGATACCTAGGAATAAGTCTAACCAAATAAGTTAAAGACCTCCACAAGGAAAACTATGAGAAGCTAAAAAAAGAAATTGAAAGTAATACAAAAAAGTGAAAGGACATCCCATGTTCCTGGATTGGAAGAATTAATATAATCAAAATGGCTATTTTACCCCAATTAATCTACATATTTAATGCAATCCCACTCAAAGTGCCAGAGATATTCTTCACAGATCTAGAAAAGACAATCATACAATTTGTCTGGAATCATAAAAGACCTCGTATTGCCAAAGTAATTCTGCAGATTAGAAATGTGGAGTGGGTGGAATCTCACTCCCTGATCTGAAAATATAATACAAATCTGTGATAATCAAAACAGTATGGTATTGGCACAGAAACAGTCAGGTGGACCAAGGGAACAGAATAGCATCCCCGGAAATAATCTCCCAAACATATAGCCAACTGATTTTTGACAAAGGGTACCAGTCAATCCAGTGGGGAAAGAAAAACCTCGTTAGCAAATGGTGCTGGAAAAACTGGATAGCCACCTGCAGAAAGATGAATATAAACTCCTATGTCTCACCAATGACAAAAATTAACTCAAAGTGGATCAAAGATCTAAACCTAAGACCTCAAACTATAAAACTACTGGTGGAAAACACTGGGGAAACTCTGGGATACATTGAGGTAGACAAAGACTTTTTACATAAAATCCCCAAAGCACAATCAATAATCTCAAAAATAGAATAGTGGGATTACATCAGATTAAGAAGTTTCTACATGGCAAATGGTTATAAATACCAGATACAGTAATTAGTGTGAATCGACCGTCCTTGGAATGGGAAAATATTCGGGATAGCCACTTGCAGAAAGATGAATATAAACTCCTATGTCTCACCAATGACAAAAATTAACTCAAAGTGGATCAAAGATCTAAACCTAAGACCTCAAACTATAAAACTACTGGTGGAAAACACTGGGGAAACTCTGGGATACATTGAGGTAGACAAAGACTTTTTACATAAAGTCCCCAAAGCACAATCAATAATCCCAAAAATAGAATAGTGGGATTACATCAGATTAAGAAGTTTTATAGT